TATATATATATATATTTAGCGAACTAAGAAACTCATCTAAATGTTTCTTGAATGTAACCTGAAGGTGAACGTGCAGTGCTTTTATACATGCTTTCTCTAGGGATGAACCGTTACCATTTTCTCCAGACTGAGTACGAGTACTGATACTTTTTCCTCAAGTGCTCGCCGATACCAATTACTGATACTTTTTCTTGTGTCATGTTCTCTAAAACAATACAGACAAATGATTTTAGGACAGTGGTGAAGTGCAAGGGCCCGGTCCCAGCTGCAAGCGCTGTGACCCTGGTAGTTCTGCCACTGACTCCAAGCTGTAGAGAGACTACAAATCCCAGCAATACATTATACAGCAATGCAGATTATTATGAATCTACATACTCTGTGCTGCTCTGGGTTGTGGGCCTGATGTCTCCAGCAGAGGATCTCTGGTGGGCTGTGTGGGTTCTCAGGAGGGCTGCACAGGATCTCAGGTGGGCTCTGTGGGATCTCAGTAGGCTGTGCGAGGTCTCAGAAGGGCTGTGAGGGGTCTCAGGTGGGCTGTGTAGGGTCTTAGGTGGGCTGTGTAGGGTATCAGGAGGGCTGTGTAGGGTCTCAGGAGGCTGTGCGGGGCCTCAGGAGGCTGTGAAGGGTCTCAGATGGGCTGTGTGGGGTCTCAGGAGGGCTGTGTAGGGTCTCAGGAGGCTGTGAGGATTCTTAGGTGGGATGTGTGGGGTGTCAGAGGGGCTGTACGGGGTCTGAGAAAAAAATGTAGGCCGTGTGTTAACATGTGCCAGCTGTTTACCTGTGACCCATTACAACTCATGATGTCACTCAGCCACGTAATGCCATGTAATTGCAAAGCGTGATCAGGAAGCTTCCTCAGTACCGGATGCTATATCTAGCACCAGGGTGACTGAGTGACACCAGGAGTTGGATAGTGTTGCTGGTAAGTGGTCAGCAGTGTCCAATGCTGATTGTAGGACATCATGGTACATGTATTTATATGGCGGTTTAATCTTCATAGAGGAATTCTAGGCCATGAACTTCCACATCACCTTCTCTGTTATCATTTTTTTCAGTGACCAAAACCAGGACAAAGAACTGAACCTAAAAGCGTCCATCAAGCATATTGTGACATGTAACCTCGAAGAGGAGAATCTGACCCACCCGCTGGTGTTACCTCTTGCCGACTGCGTCATCAGTGAAGTGTTATTGGACGTCATCAGTAAAGATGAGGATGATTACATGAGGAACCTGGAAAAAATCTCAAACCTGCTGAAAATCGGAGGTCACCTGATCCTCTTTGGGTTACTAAACACAACTTACATAACAGCTGGAGCGGATCGGTTCCATATGATGAAATACGATGAGAGCTTTGTAAGATCCTCTCTCAGCAAGCTGGGCTTTGTCATTGATTACTGCGCCGTGCAGAGGAGACGGAATGTGAGCGATCTCATTGATTATTCTCATATTTATTTCATCACAGCTCACAAGGAGAAATAAATAGATCCACCGACAGGTCCCACTTCATTAAATGTAGCTCCCCGCAAAAGTGAAATCAATTGGTCAGCTGATAATACCATTCAGGAAATACATGACTGACTGCAAGGCCAAGTAACCCTCACCCCCCCACCTAAATAACACACTAACCACAGTAATTTCAAAAAATGTAATGTAACAACATTTATTGGAAGGTTCAATGACCGCAGCGATGTAAACATTTAAAATAATTTAAACATTAAAACAAGTAAACATTTCAAAGGAATACCCATAACCCTAACTAGAAAAATTGTACCCCTCCTCCCCAAATTCCACACTTGCGGAAACTAACCCTTCGTAAACATAAAAAACAACAAGCTGCAATACTATCGGGGAGGGTGGGTGGGACTGATTCCTTTCCTCTCCCACCTAAAATGGCTCCCTACCTCACACTGTACAGTAAGATGGCCCCCTAACTCCACCCCCCAAGCTAAACCCACCCAGGGCCGGTGGAAGGATTTTTGCTTACACAGGCGAAGGTGCATTTTTGCGCCCCCCCTTCAAACTTAGCATTCTCAGATGGCTGCCTATGCCTGGAGGCATTTCTCCGCTAGGAGCAGATCACAGTTTCTAACTTCACCTTTCTGACCAAGTTACACCCATATTTACGATGAAACATGGTCAGACCCCGACCCCCACCCTCCCAGGTCTCAGGAGGGCTGTATGGGGTCTCTGGAGGGTTGCATGGTGTCTCTGGAGGGTTGAACGGGGTCTCTGGAGGGTTGAACGGGGTCTCTGGAGGGCTGTGTGGCGTCTCTGGAACTATTAAAAAAGGTATGTATTGGTATAGCACCTGGCCTTAATGGGTTGGACTCTTTCCCTTAGGCCTTGTTCACACCAAATGCAGAGCAGATCCGGTCAGGTTTCTGCACACGCAGTGCAGTGGGTTGTGCCGCGTTTTTGATGCGTTTTGGACGCGTTTTTGATGCGTTACGGGCCGTTTTTGGTTAAAAAATTAAAAACTTTGAACGTTTAACATGGGCTTTCAGGCACTTGCATGCGTTTTTGATGCGTTTTTGATGCATTCCAGAGCAGATCCAGAGCAGGTAAAATAGGGCTTGCCGTAGTTTTTTCACCTGCTCTGGATCTGCACGCTGCCTTGAACTGGAGCTCAAAATACCATAGGAATACATTGGACGCAGTTTTGATCCGGTCTGCACCCGCTCTGCCCTGGATCTGCTCCGCGCTTGGTGTGAACAAGGCCTTATAATTAAGTGGGTTGAGATCTTTCTGGTACTGTAGTTGAAACATTCCAGTTGATTGTCAATATTGGAATAATGTTTCCTTTTTTGTTAAAGTTGAAGTTCATTGTAAAATGTGTGGCACATAAATTAGCAAAATGTATGTTTTTAATATTTAAAGCTGCCTTAAAGGCGAAGTATGGGGTTAGGGCTTTTCCCCATAGTTCTCCTTAGGGTAACGGGAGGACACAAATGTCACCTCCCGTCACCCTAAGCTCAGTATACCGCGAGCTGTAGCTCGCGGTATACTAAGACGCCGCAGTTGAAACGAATCCCGACAATTGTGCCGGGATCCGCCCAGCTGCGTGAGTGACAGCTGGCTCTGCCTATGTGGCAGAGCCAGCTGTACCTGCCCCCTCCCCCGTCCGTTCCGCCAGTCAGCGCTGGAGGATCGGGGGGGGGGGGGATGCAGTCCCTCCCCTGTCATGGCAGAGAGCCGTGACAGGATTGAGAAGTGTGCGAACGCCGTTATGTGTTCGCTCACCTCCCGATCTACTGAGCCGACCTGTGACAGTCTCATTGTCACAGGTCGGCTAGAACTATGAGGTGAGTGAAAAGCACTCCCCCTCCCCCCTCATAGTTCTCCTTTAACCACAGTGCAAATCTATTTATTTACTTATACAAATATTGCAAGGTTGTATGCAGCAGTGTATTAAGGTTTCGTGCTGCCCTAGGCAAGACGAAACTCGGCACCCCCCCATCTAAATTTGTTCCACCTCTTCCTGTTCAAGACATTTTGCATAACCTGTCAAGTCGCTGGATACATCTTCTGACAGATTGCGCTATTAGGCCTCATTCACACTGCTTAAAGTCGGCCCGTACAGATCCGTGGGACGTGCACAGACGTATCGGGCCATTCCCGGGAAGGACAGGCTGTTCCTGTGCCCCATGTCATTCTGTGCCCCCATGTCATCCTATGCCCCCATGTTATCTTGTGTCTCCATGTCATCTTGTGTTTCCAGGTCATCCTGTGCCCCATGTCATTCTGTGCCCCATGTCATCCTATGCCCCCATGTCATCTTGTGTCTCCATGTCATCCTGTGCCCCATATCATTCTGTGCCCCCATGTCATCTTGTGTCTCCATGTCATCCTGTGCCCCATGTCATTCTGTGCCCCCATGTTATCCTGTGTAACATGTTTGGGTGGAGGAGAAGATTGGTCGGGTGGAGGAGAAGAGAAAACAGACAGCGATCGCCGCTGCCGAGGCGGCGGAAGTGCCTCCCCCTGGATTTCCACTTGCCCCCACGCAATTTTCACTCGCCAATTGCGAGGGGGCGAGTGGAAATTTTGAGCCCTGCTGTATGTATATATATATTTAGTTATTTTTCCTCGCTTCTCTTACCAACATGGTAAAGCCATAAAACTCTTGGGCTACCGACATCTGCCTTGACATAATAGGTGACACCATTGTGACGGGATTAGAGTGACAGAGTTACCGGTGAGGCGATAATTGCTGAGCTATGTTCTTGACACTAAAATGGAAGAAGGACAAGGACATAAATGGATGAAGTGGTTAATGAAGGGTAATCAGGGGGCACTCACCTGATTGGGTAGTTGTAGCATGGCAGAAAGGGCTCCGAGCATGGTCTGTATTGTGGGGTGTAGAAACTTTAGTTAGAGCTTTGCAGACACTACACCAACATCTTTGAAAGGAGTCAATTTGATGGTGTTGAGAAATATTAGGGACCCATTCTGGGTATGGTGTCCCTTCTTCAGTTCAGTCAGCTTGCAGTGACATCATATTTGATGGATCGGCATATGTCTTCGGTCAGTTTTTGTGTAATCTTCCCTGAGGTGGGGGCTTATCATATGAGTTATGCAGGTACACAGAGTTTGTTCATTTTCAAGTGTCTTCAAGGCTCTTCAACCTCAACCTTATGCTAATTGACTGATAAAGCCACTAAATCCCGATCTAGTGTGGTCTGGTTTTCCTTGTGTAAGAGGATACAACAGAGAGGTGATGGGTATGGCCAGGCTGTAGGTATACCTTGTTCCACCTGAAAACCCTGGTCATGTGACCAACTGCTACTAACTGTACCATGACCTGAATAAATAAATCTTCACAAAAAAACATTTTAAAAAGTCTGAACGTGCTTTCTTGGTGTTCACAGAGCTGAGGTATCTATTATAATGAAGGGAGATGAAAGGAGCTTTAATGGCTCATTAATCTATTAACTAATAAATATTTGTGTGGCAAATAAAAAAAACAAAAACAGTCATTTGTGTTCCCATGACAATCACATGCTCATGGCTGGGATGATAATGAGGTGTATTTGCCGGGTATAAAGACAACTCCCAGATATCACCGCGAGTATGACCAAGCTGAAGAAGATACGAGAGTCACTCTGCTGTTAAAGTTGGTAAATTGCTTGAAAGTTAAATGACCGAAGTTACCGACATGTAGGCAAGAAGAGAAGAGGGAATAATGAATAATAAGTAGGATAAATAGGGTTTATTTTACAATAATGAGGAGGGGTAATGACAGTTCTGTCAGCTGAATCCCTTGTGACTGTCATATGAATATAACAAACAAGATTATGACAACATTGAACTCACCTGATAAATATAAAGTGAACTGTGAGATTAGTTCAGCACATTGGAAAGTGGAAACCAAAGAAGTGACACCTGACCCATCGACGCTGCAAGATGGATTCTATACCAAAGAAACTCTACAACATTCATGGATTTGATTCTAGAAGTAACCTTGAATTGTACTTCTCTGACAAGGAGGACATGGTCTTTAAAGAAGATTTTTTGACATTTCCGTTGATGAATCTTCACTATGTGTTCAGCAGAGGTATGTAGGAATCTGTATATTTTATAAATGAAATTCCTTGATGTAGAAAGCAATAAAAATACCACTCATAGTAGTGAAACTCCCCATACTGGTCTATCAATCATTTATTCAAGTTGAAATGAGACATTTGTGGCTCACTACATGTATATAAATTGTTATTCATAACTTATATTGAGTGTCAGCTTCTCTTGAGGTTCTGTGAGAGACAATAAAGTTATTTTGCTTTTCATTCTGGAATTTCCAAAAGAGACAATAGTGAGTAGGGGAGAGCAATGGGGATGTTGGCTACCTTGCTGCACACAACACGGCATCGCAGATGGTATGCGCAGAACTGTTCTGCCCTGGAACAGTTGATCGGTCCTGAAATGTCACTTCTATCCGACTTTTTGAGTGGGGTGGAATGTGAGATCGCACTCACAGAGTCGGATAGAAGTGACATTTCAGGACCGAACAGCTGTTCTAGGGCAGATCAGTTCTCCTGCACATACCATGTGCAATGCCGATGTGCCCTGGAACAGCTGCAAAAGCGTTGGAATGTTTGACCTACTGGCGGTTTCACATTCCACCACCAAAAAACTGGGTGGGATTACATTGAAATGTGTGACCACGTCACCAGTCACACATTGTAACGTAGTCACAAACTTTGATAGAACACCACCATCATGTGAGGGGTCAGGGCAGCCTGGGGGGCCTCTTACATGAGTATCAGCTGTACCAGGAGCGGCATGGCAGAGGTGACAGAGGAGGGGGTAGAGGAGGCCGGGCCCCAGCAGCAGCAGGTAAGAGGAGTTGGGATGAGGTATTGGGAAAGGGACCCCGGCGGCCAGCCCACCTGAGGCCCTGCAGAGCCCACCATAGAGAGTCTCAGATGGGCTGTGCAGGATCTATGGTGTGCTCTGCAGGGTCACTCTCAGGTGGGCTCTGCGGGGGCTCAGGTAAGTCCAGAGTCCAGTGCGTTACTAAGCCCAGAGTCCAGTGTGTTACTAAGCCCACATATACCTATATACATGCTATACATAGCATAAAGGTAAAAAACTATATATGCCGTGTTATCTTCATTTTAGATGTCAAAAGGGTTTTGTGTTTTCTTTTCTGTGGGAAACGGGTCCAAATGGCTCTTTGAGTGTTTAAAGTTGCTGACGCTTGCCCTAGGGGGCCGCAGGAGAAAACAGAGCAATGAGGAGAGGACTGCAATGGAGATGATGCCTGTTGATTCAAATAGCATAGCATATGTGTTGAGGCTTTAAGAGATGAGCAGCAAATGATGGTGGACCATGACTGTGTAATGTGTGTTGAAATGGTCACCTGTAGCCTCTATTTGAATTCCGTGTGACAGGGTGACAACACAGGAGAACAATTGGGAGACCGGGACAGAGTGTTTTCCCCCCTTTATAGGAATGCTGAAAAATTTTGAAAATGAATTGAAACTAACATGTTAAAGATTAACTGCATGTTTAGTGATTGTGTTTACAGATCATTATTTTGCACACCTCGTATGTTCTGTGACGTACACAACACTTTATTTTATAACAGGTTTTATCTGTGGAAATCTGCTGATTGACTTCAGTAGTGGCGCCTTCATTCACCATCTATATTCAGCTGCCAACATCTTCAAAGATATGATTATTATGAAGTTCAATGAGAAATGTAGCATGGAAGTGCGCAGATGGCACGGAGATCGTACCGGAGCTTTTAGCTGGAATCACACAAAAACTTCTGTCGAAGAGTTGGAAGGAAAAAGGTGAAGTGTCTGTTGATAATTGTTTGTGATAGTATCGGGTCTATTTATAAACCTTCCACCGGCTGGAGATTAGAGGACATTTCTATACTCCTCAGTACCATCTAGGGGTAGGAAGTCAGTCAAGTGTTATAAGAAATGTAATATACATAATAGGCACCGTATTGTCTGATACTATTGTTCAACTCTGCTACATTTTGCTTTCATAACCTTGAGGAATTATTATGCTGCTGGCGGATCATTTTAACATCATAGTAACATTGTAGATGAGGTTGAAAGAAGACACAGGTCCCTCTAGTTCAACCTATATACAGTGTGTGTGTGTGTGTGTCTGGATATACTTAGCTCTGGTAGTTCCTGTATCCTTGTATATTTAGCGAACTAAGAAACTCATCTAAATGTTTCTTGAATGTAACCTGAAGGAGAATGCGCAGTGCTTTTATACATGCTTTCTCTAGGGATGAACCGATACTATTTTCTCCAGACTGAGTACGAGTACTGATACTTTTTCCTCAAGTACTCACTGATACCAATTACCGATACTTTTTCTCGTGCCATGTGACAGTTGCTCTAAAACAATACAGACGAATGATTTTAGGACAGTGGTGAAGTGCAAGGGCCCGGTCCCAGCTGCAAGCGCTGTGACCCTGGTAGTTCTGCCACTGACTCCAAGCTGTAGAGAGACTACAAATCCCAGCAATACATTATACAGCAATGCAGAATATTATGAAGCTACATACTCTGTGCTGCTCCGGGGGGCTGGCCTGATGTCTCCAGCAGAGGATATCAGGTGGGCTGTGGAGGATCTCTGCAGGGCTGCGCAGGATCTCAAGAGGCTGAGGCAGAGTGTCAGGAGGCTGTGCTGTGTCTCAGGTGGGCTCTGTGGGATCTCAGTAGGCTGTGTGAGGTCTCAGAAGGGCTGTGAGGGGTCTCAGAGGGCTGCATAGGGTTTCAGAAAGCTGTGCGAGGTCTCAGAAGGGCTGTGAGGGGTCTCAGGTTGGCTGTGCGGGGACCCTGAAGGCTGTGTGGGGTCTCAGAGGGCTGTGTAGGGTCTCAGAAAGCTGTGAGGGGTCTCAGGTAGACCGTACAGGGTCTCAGAAGGCTGTGTGGGGTCTCAGGAGGGCTGTGTAGGTTCTCAGGGAGCTGTGAGGATTCTTAGATGGGATGTGTGGCGTCTCAGGGGGGCTGTAGGGGTCTGAGAAGAGGTTTTAGGCCATGTGTTAACATGTGACAGCTGTTTACCTGTGACACATTACAACCCATGATGTCACTCAGCTACTCAGTGCTATCTCCATCGTGTAATTGCAAAGCCTGATCAGGAAGCTTCCCCTGTGCGGGACGCTGTATCTAGCACCAGGGTGACTGACAGCTAGCTCTGCCTATCTAGAGGCAGAGCCAGTTGTACCCGTCCCCCTCATAGTTCTCCTTTAATCTTCACAGAGGAATTCTAGGCCATGAACTTTATCTTCCCTGTTATCATTTTCTTTCAGTGACCAAACTCAGGACAAAGAACTGAACCTAAAAGCGTCCATCAAGCATATTGTGACATGTAACCTCGAAGAGGAGAATCTAGCCCACCCGCTGGTGTTGCCGCTTACCGATTGCGTCATCAGTGCGGGGTTATTGGACGTCATCAGCAAAGATGAGGAGGATTACATGAGGAACCTGGGAAAAGTCTCAAACCTGCTGAAAATCGGAGGTCACCTGATCCTCCTGGGGGCGATAAATGCGACTTACATAACAGCCGGAGCGGATCGGTTCCATTGGTTTACACACGATGAGAGCTTTGTAAGGTCCGCTCTCAGCAAGCTGGGCTTTGTCATTGATTACTGCGCCGTGCAGAGGAGACGGAATGTGAGCGATCTCATCGATTATTCTCATATTTATTTCATCGCAGCTCACAAAGAGAAGTAAATGGATCCGCCGACAGCCTCCACTTCAGTGAATGTTGCTCCCCGCAAAAGTGAAATCAATTGGTCAGCTGATAATCCCATCCAGGACATACAATCAGAGGCGTAACTAGAACCTTCAGGGCCCCGGTGCTAGAAACCATGAAGGGCCCCGCATGGTTAACAGGAAGGCTGCCGAGGTCCCCAGCAAGCGCGGGAACTCGGGCAGCTGCTTGTTTAAAATGTAGCACATCCCCGTGGCCCCTGTCTGCAGGGAAACACTTACATTTCCTCCAGGCAGCCGACCTGCAGCTCCTCTTCAGCCACATTCTCTGACGCTTCTGCCCGGGGAAAGCAAGCTCCGCCCCCTGCACGCACGTCTGAGGAAGGTTCCAATAGCGGACGGGGGGGCCCGGGACATGCCAAATTGTATTAGTCTTATCATTTCATAATAAAAAGTTATAGCTTGGAGCCCGGCCGCCTGGGCCCCTTACAACTTCAGTGGCTGTACCCCCCTGATGGCGGCCTTGCAGGATAGTAGCTGAACGATCTCGGGGGCCCCCTTCTCCCTCGCTGGGCCCCCCCCCAAGTGGCGGAACGCCAGGGCCCGGTCGCAATTTGCGACCGCTGCGACCCTGGTAGTTCCGCCAGTGCATACAATATCTCCCGTAGGCAGAGAGTCAGCTCAGTTGTATTATTCTGAGTATCAAAGCTGAACTTCAGGCAAACAACTAAATGCACAGAGAAGATACACATATAATAGTTGTTTTGCATGCCAAAGGATTTGTATTCATGTTTATGCAGCCTTGAGATGTACACAGCTCTGACACACAGCTCAGCACAGCCCAGCCTGATAAGGGAATGGACCTCATCTTTTTCTACTGCCGTTTCAATTACACTTACAGGTCTCTTCCCTACTAGGGATGGGCTCGATGTTCGAGTCGAGCGCGAGTTCGACTTGAACATCAGCAGTTTGTGGGTTCGGGGAACACACAAACTGTGAGGGCGTTCGGCTGTTTGCCCGCCGAGCGCCCTGCAAGGCACTGCGACTTGTGAAGCCCTGATTGGCTAAAGCCTTGCACCTGACTACAGGTCAGGTTCAAGACTTTGCCCAATCAGGGCCCAGTACTCTGTAGGAGCCATGATTGGGCAAAGTCATGATAACTTTGCCCAATCATGGCTCACCTGTCAGATGCCGTACAACCGTAAACAGGTGGGTGGAGCTAGCTGTCACCGCTAGCTCCGCCAAATTGTTTATATTTTGCCGGCATCTGTCAAAATGACATTATACAAGTACCTCGTACTCATTCACAAGGGGGGGAGGCGGCATCTGGGTGCCCCTTTATTAAAGGGGTACCCTGATGTCAATAAGCCCCCTGCCCGCACCCCCACAACCAACGCCGCAGGGCTTGTGGGGAAGAAGCCCTTGGCACGGGGACAAGGTGCTTTTCCACGGGCAACCCTGATAAAGCACCTTCCCAGTGCCGAGGGCATGAGGCCTGGTTTTAGAGGGGGGGGCGCTCGGTCGTCCCCAACCTTTCCGGCCCTGCCAGGCCTATGCTCGAATCATATGGAATTGGAATGGTATGGAATTTTAGGGGGGACACCATGTTTTTTCCCCCTTATTTTTGGGGGTGGGGTTCCTCTTTAAAATTTCTACCAGATCTTAGGGGCCTAGTATGACTTTGAGGGGGGAACCCACACACCTTTTTTTTAATTTTTTTTACATGAGGTGCCTCCTAAAATTCCTACCAGACCTAAAGGGTCTGCTATTGTTTGAAATGGGGAACAGCACTCTTTAACAACAACAAAAAGTCATTTTTATTTTCTTTAGAAATGTCAGTTTTGCTGCAGCAGGTGCAATACATCGTACAGATCCCCCACTTCACAGGCATTTTAAGGGGACCCCCCCAGGCACGATATTTAAAGGAATTTTTCATTTTTATTGTTACTCTTTAAGAGATGTTAAAATCACTGCTCCTTTAAAAATTGTATTTTTTAAAAGTGTGTTTTTCATTGATTCCTGTCCCCCAGGGCAGTACCCGGACCCCCATACATGTCCCCCAGGACAGTACCCAGAACCCCATACATGTCCCCCAGGACAGTACCCGGATCCCCATACATGTCTCCCAGGACAGTACCCGGATCCCCATACATGTCCCCCAGGGCAGTACCCGGATCCCCATACATGTCCCCCAGGGCAGTACCCGGATCCCCATACATGTCCCCCAGGGCAGTACCCGGATCCCCATACATGTCCCCCAGGGCAGTACCCGGATCCCCATACATGTCCCCCAGGGCAGTACCCGGATCCCCATACATGTCCCCCAGGGCAGTACCCGGATCCCCATACATGTCCCCCAGGGCAGTACCCGGATCCCCATACATGTCCCCCAGGGCAGTACCCGGATCCCCATACACCTTTTATGGCCAATAACTTGCACATAAGCCCTCTTAAAGGGGACAATTGTTTTTGAAAGTTCTACCCCCCATAGACTTGCATTGAGTTCGAGTTTGAATTCAAACTTTTTCCATGTGTAGCGCTCACCCCCGAAGGAACCGCTGTGTATGAATTGAGGTTCTCCTACCTGTTTGTTCCAGCCACCGGTCCCCTTTGTTCAGCAACAGCACACCGACACTCACGGACAGAATGGACTCCAGTCTCAGGGTCTTTTTGTAGATTTATTTGCAAGGATTAACAGGAGAGAGAGGGTTTAGGATCTGTAGGATGCCCTGGCGGATTCTTCAAAGGACAGCTTTCTCCCCTAGCAACCACTAAGGCACAAAGCACTGTGATCCGGTCCCAGGGACCAATAGTATTAGCAATACTGCGAACAGCCAGGATGGTCCAATAACTTATATGGAGAAGGTTAGCTATCTCTGGACTCAGGTAAGAACCGTTGGCTTCTTCTAGAACAGACACCTGGAATAGGGTGAGGGATCTCTCTTGTGGGTCCCAGACGGACGCTCTCACCAGCTACTCTGCGGTACCCCTCAACAAGAAGACTCTACCTCCGGCCCAGCTTCCATCAGGTCTTTTCTTCTTCAGTATCTGGAATCTCTGTGCCCTCAGCATCTGCAACCGCCAAGGAGCACTCCAGATTAGTGGTAGTATCCTCTTAGAACAAGGCACCCAACACCTGCCACATGTATGCATGCTCATGGCACTTTAGCACATCTGATTAGCTCATTGTGCTGCTTCTCCATTACACTCTCTGAGCTCTGCTCTACAGACTGTATATTAAACTGCAAGAGGCTGATACCAAATCAAATTCAGGTACTTACACCGCATGCAAAAAAAAATGCATTTCATGATGTAGGCATGAATACAAAGATGCATTTATTTGTGCCTTTTCTATTTACCTGGAGTTCAGCATTACCATTACAGCTAGATTCTGAACATTATCACAGGTGATTGTGTGTGGAGCTGTAGCCTCTTGTCATATGTCTCTGTGCTAATTAAATCCTCTTCCACTCTCAGTATGATAACAACCAATGTGCGTCAGTAGGAGGAGTTAAGAACACCCGATCTGCATGTTTTGCTTGCTTAGACACCAGTGTTCCCAGAACATCAGCTTAATATCAGTAGTCGGCGTCCTCTGTGTGTATTTTCCATTTCACTTCTATGTCAATCCTAATAAAATGATTACAGAGTATAAATGTGTATCAAAGTGCCATCTGTCATTATATACAGTGTGATCCTTAGACTTTGCCCTGTTCACATCTTGCAGTGCTGGGCATACAGTGATGACATTATTTGCTCAGGAAATTCATTTATTTCCTGCCTCGGTGACTTCATGGTTGTCACCGAGGCAGGAGGACACAGACAGCAATAAAACATTGTCAGACGTTCCAACCCCTCCCCCAGACTGCATTCTTGTCTGTGCCCCTCCCATCACTTCCTGTCCTAATACAGAGGGCCCGCTATATCAAAAAGGAAATAAACATTTTGGTTGCAGTTGGGCTTTAAAAAGTAGAAAACAGAGCTCTTCCTTTTATTTAAGTCATGGGCTCTGGGGCCACCAACATCTGCCTTGACATAATACATGACACCATAGTGACCAGATTAAGGTGACAGAGGTACCGGTGAGTCTGTAAATACTGAGCTATGTTCATGATACAAATCAAACCTAAAGAAGACACTCACAGCCCACCTGAGACCCCTCACAGCCCTTCTGAGACCTCACACAGCCTAATGGGATCCCACAGAGCCGACCTGAGAAACAGCACAGCCTCCCGAGATCCTGCGCAGCCCTCCTGAGACCCCACACAGCCCTCTTGGACCCACAGAGCCCTCCTGAGATGCTCCACAGCCCACCAGAGATCCTCTGCTGGAGACATCAGGCCAGCACGCTGGAGCAGCACAGACTATGTAGCTTCAGATTATTCTGCATTGCTGATAAATCATTAGTCTGTATTGTTTTAGAGAAACTGTCATATGACACAAGAAAAAGTATCGGTAATTGGTATCGGCGAGTAGTAATGTGAGTAAAACTTTTTTTTGTATTGCTGAGATTTGTAGTCTCTCTACAGCTTGGAGTCAGTGGCAAAACTACCAGGGTCACAGCGCTTGCAGCTAGGACCGGGCCCTTGCACCTCACCACTGTCCTAAAATCATTAGTCTGTATTGTTTTAGAGAAACTGTCACATGACACAAGAAAAAGTATCGGTAATTGGTATCGGCGAGTACTTGAGGTGAGTTCAATGTTGTCATAATCTTGTTTGTTATATTCATAAGACAGCCATGGGGGAATCAGCTGACAGAACTGTCGTTACCCCTTCTCAGTATTGTCAAATAAACCCTCTTTATTCTACTTATTATTCATTATTCTCTCTTCTCTTCTTGTCTACATGTCGGTAACTTCGGTCATTTAACTTACAAGCAATCTACCAACTTTAACAGCAGAGTGACTCTCGTATCTTCAGTTGGTTCTTGCAGTGCTGGGCATACAGTGATGACATTATTTGCTCAGGAAATTCATTTATTTCCTGCCTCGGTGACTTCATGGTTGTCACCGAGGCAGGAGGACACAGACAGCAATAAAACATTGTC